CCCTTGCTCCAAGCACGACCAGCCCCAACTAGATCATCTCAGCCAGGGCTTCATGGAGCCAGGCCTTAAACCTGCCCCATCCCCCCAGTGGAGACTCCACCACCTCTCTCGGTAACCCATTCCAGTGCTTCACCACCCTCCTAGCGAGAGTTTTTCCTAATATCCAACCTAAACCTCCCTTGCTGCAACTTGAGAGCAGCGCTCCTTGCTCTGTCATCTGCTACCACGAGCTCCATCCTCCTTGTAGTTAAAGGCCGCTGCCAAATCCTCCCCTCAGTCTTCTCTTTTGCAGACTAAGGCCAGTTCCCTCAGAAGCCATGTTCCCCAGCCCCCTAACCATTTTTGTTGCCCTCCACTGGACTTTCTTTAACTTGCCCACATCCTTTTTGTAGAGGGGGCCCAAAACGGGACACAATCAACTAAGTATTTTACAGACGTCTAGTAGCAGAGCTCTGCCAAGCGTGTAAACCTCAAACGTGCTTATCGAACCTTCCCATCCCTAGAAATTCATGTGAATGCCTGCAACCAGGCTGGTTCACCAGTGACATGGAGGGTGTATTCAAGGCAAAGCATCTGAATGAGCTTGATAATATTGATCTACTTCCCTGATTTTTCAGAAATGCTAAGCACTATGCATCTGTTAGGGCCTCTGGGTGCTCAGCACCTCTGAATCTGCAGTTGCGGAAACTGAAGGTTTGATCCTGCTGCAGTTATACTTGTCAGAAACTTTACTGAGTTTATCATGAGATTATCGGTATGGTCCTGATTTTCAGAAAAACCCATAAATCTAATAGGAGTTATGGAGGTGCCATACCTCTGCAAATCAGACCCTACATCCATTTACTTCTGCAGAAACCTAAGACCTGATCCTGCCAGCGCTTGTACGTGTAAGTAACTTTACCCAATTCATTAGTCTTATTGAACTCGGATTGAACTCGGGAGTAAAATTACACATACGCATAAATATTTGGAGATTTGGGGCAACAGAAAGGTTTTCCGATACAAGACTTCATTTTAGGTGGGGGTTTTTTTGTATAAACTATACTGCATGATGCTTTTCACTAGAAGATCATAGTGAATGTGTGATATAAATAGTAGCAACTGAAAGGTGAAACTGTTGATTGGTGAGACGGGCAGTACTGAGAGTATTAATGGGAAATAATAAAAATTGACTCATTTGGAAGGAAAAAATAAGACGCCTTACAGACTGTTAATGGAACTAAAAGAACATTGTCACATGTTTTATCAGTTTGATAAACAGTTTATAAATCAGCATTTATAAACATTTTCATAAGAAGATTAATTAGGAGTTTACAAAATAATGGCATGGTCCACTAGAATTTTTGAATTGTGTCCCATCGGCTTTGAATAACATTGGCACCACATTTTTCCTCTGTGTTGTGAAGTCTTCTGTGCTCAAAGATGGCTGGGTACTGGTTAGCAGGAATGCTGCAGCTTTTATGGTTTCCCAGGTGACTGTATTTGTCTTTGGAAGCAATGGGACGAATTCTCAAATGGTGTAAAGTGGCATAACTCCGCTGAAGGCAATGGAGAGGCCTTCACTTATACCTGCTGTGGTTCAGTGTATGAAGGTAAGGAAGAAAAAAATTCTCATTACGCTGTTAGAATAATAGCAGATAGGAATTAAAAGGGTAGAAGTCCACTGGCTTCCCCAGATTTGTATCTATTTACCTATGTACTGAATCTGGTCTGTTACTTTTATGTCAATTGTACACCAAGGGTTTAATAACCCACAACTTAACCAAGAATAGCCGGTCTACATTTTCATATGACACTTTTGTGAAACTTATAAAACGACACTGAAGTAATGTATTGGGTCCTGAAATTATGAAAACGTGTATATTATCTTATAATAGTCAAGATATCTTTAACACTTTCCTGTCTTCAGCTTGGGGGCTAAGAGTTGTTATGGGCAGACAGTTTCCACTGTGGTTCCAAAACTGTCTTTTCGGGGGCTGGTGGTGCTTTGCTAAGTCCCAGTAGCCAAAAATCTGACCAAAATAGGTTAAAAGACAGTCATCTTTCCTTCCAATATGTTGAAAGATCCTATCTTATTCTCAGCTGACATCATTAGAAAGGCAACATGGACAAGTTCACTTTGTATTTTCCTGAAGTCTTAATTGTTGAGGGGATAAAAAAGGAATTCAATTATCTTGCATTAAATGGCAAAAGCAGTTCTGCAGATAAGGGTAATCAAATCTCTATGCATCTCTCTGTCTATAGACTATTCCATAGGCATCTTTCACTGCTGTATCTTATTGTCTATGGGCCATGCTGCATCACGGTTCAGGATTTAAGATGATTTCCTGGAGACACTAGGAAGACTTTCCAGTTTGCTTTATGCAGCATCTCAAAAACAAGCCGGTAAAGGCAGCATGCACCAATCAACAAGTCTAGGTCTCAGGAGATCTTCTATGCCAGGTTTGGCTACTTACCTGCTCCAGGGCCTTGGGGAAGTTACCCCATATCTTTGTGCGTCTATTTGTCTGCCTAGATTATTACCTTTTGGGCAAGGAAGGACTTGTGCTACATGTAAGAGTATCACCTAGCATGACAGAGATCCAGTCTCTGTTGGGGCCTCTAGAATTGATTCATTAACATTATTAAAGCCATCCCAACACAAAGAGTCCTGATGATCTGCTGGAATAAAGACTGCAGGGTGAAGCTCAACGGGTGAAAAGAATCACTGTAGTTTCACTCCCTGAGTACAGTGCAGAGGATAGAAACAAGCAACAACGAGGAAAAGTAAGTGAGATCTTCTTGAAGTGAGAAAGTTTAATTATTAAATAGCTGAGATTTTACAGTCTCCACAGAGCATGGGGAGATCCTCAGAAGTAAGATGCTTGATAAAATGCAAGGCGTTGTTGTTGTTGTTAACCATTTTAATCACACCAGGGCTCATGATTTACCTTCAGGGGTGAAGCTTACATTTATCCAGCAAGTCCTTTTGAAAAGCAACCACTTGCGTAAAACTCCTCCAACCAAATTAGAGCAATTTTGAAGTTCTTTTGGGAATGAAGGGCTACTAGTATGAGAAAAATGTACGTGGTTGTATTTTGCAGAAAAACTGCCTGTATGTTTATCATTTGCATTGCAATAACTTGTAGCGATTCTAATAAAGGTAATGGGCCCATCAGGGACTGCCTCCTACTGGGCGCTTTACAGTGCATTGTAACAAATCGTCCCTGCCCGGAAGAACCTGCAGGCAAAGGGTGCGAGGGAAAACAGAAAGGTGAGGTGACTTGGCCACGGTCATACAACAGGTCAGTGTCAGAGTAGGAGTAGAGCTAGATCTCAACAGCCTTGCTTGTTGGATTATGCTGATTCTTCTGGGCCAGATCTCTTGAATTTTCTGTGCTTCAGTTTCTGCATTTCTGAAGGCAGTGATAATACGTCCCTATTTCAAAAGGACTGGGAAGCATTATAAGGGATATGGATCAACATTTGCACTTCATCCAAGGGTACCAAAGCACCTTATGAACTGAAGCACTATTAAAAAGAAAGTGCTGTTGCTAATTAAGTTTCTAATTCAAATGAAGATGAATGGTGTTTCTTCTTTGCTTTTGTGGCTGCCAGAAGCAGCTACAATTGGGCAAAGACCCAGGGCTGGTCTCCATAGAAAAGTGAAGTCACAGCACATTAGTTACTTTGCACTAAATGCACTCTTATAATTGCACTCTTTGGGCAAACTTGCTCACTTCTCTTCGCTTCACTTGAGTACTTTGGATCTAGTGCACATTAAGACTGCTGATGCAGGGAGTCAGTGCACTGTAAATTCACCCCTAGTTTACTGCATATTAAGGCAGGATACTCTTTCCATCTTTAATCACCTGAAGGTATTCTGAGTGCATATCAGGGAGATTGAGGCTTCAGATGATTAATTATCTACAAATGCTGTTCTAGATGCATTGACTATTAACAGAAAAGCCTGTTGGCAGAGCCTGCTTTCATAATGTACATTCGGTGGTCTCATTAAGCCTCTGTTTAGAATAATTTGGGCAACCGTCAGTGTTCCAGAATAAGAATAATCTGTAGTTCTTCAATAGAGCTTTTGATCACTTGATCTCAACGCACTTTACAAAGGAGGGTCAGTATTTTTACTCCTATCATTCAGGAGGGGCAACGGGGCCACAGGGAGGGGTCGTGATTTACTCCATATGACACAGATGGTCTGTCTTGTGACAATTCTTGGGCTGGCACGTTGATGAGAGAAAACAAGGGAGAAAGAAATCCAGGACTAAGGAGGAGGGAAAACTTGCAGAAACAAAATGGGGGAAAAAATATACACCTTTGCTGCTTTGCATCTGCAGGTCTCATTGACTGAATGGGGATTTGCAGATGCTACTTACTGCAAGTGAGGACATGGTATGTGACTTAATCACAGAGCCCGCTGGCTCCTGGTTATCCTTTCTGACTGGATGGCTTCCTGAGGGCCTTTCAGCTCTACATTTCTAGGACTGTTGCAATTCTGTAGCTGGGGGAGAAGGTCTTTTGTGCTAGACCAGGACTTGAAAGATCTCTTCATTTCCTGGCTTTGATACAAGCTTTCTGGGTGACTGAAAACAGTTGACTTATGTGGCTCAGGTTCCCATGTGTATAACAGGGAACAATACTCCCTTTGTCTCTCCTGCATAGTTAGATTTTAAGCCCTTTAGGGCACACAGTTTTCTTTTTAGGTGCATCCACATAGTAAGATACTGGTTTGCTTGTAGCAGGGGCAGGCATATGTACATGACCCTTCGTCTACCTAGCACCACAGGTAATAGTGAAGCAGTGAAAACCTGACTGGGAACCCAGGTATACACCCTTGGAGCATGCAGGGCACGGACTCGGGTGTTTTTTTCCTAGATGAAAGCCAGCTTGAGGGTGCCCACCAAGTGACGCTCACACTTTCATTTTGCTGTGTAGAACTCCCCTCTCTGGGTGTCTCCTTTGTGGGGCTCCTTTGCACTGCTCTAAGCAAAACCAAGCGAAAATAAAAAGTGAACCCAAACAAGAAAAACATTTTTATTTTAAAACTGAATCCATGTTTGCGGGAAAGAGGTTCCAAAAGGAGTTTTAGACGCCTTCCAAATGCAAAATCTTCAAAGCTCCCATGATCACGCTACTTGTTGCTGTCAAAAGAAGTACTTCTAATAATAATGACTCATGGGATATAGTTCAGAGCAAAAATCAATAACAGAATTTGGGATACTAGGGAAAGTTGTTGTGTAAAGCAAAGAGACTGTTCCAAACAGCTGGAAATGCTGTTCTGAGTTTAATTTATTGTAATGCCACTAATTTTCTCTAGTCTCATTTCAATAATCACTGCTTGCAACATAATTACCCAGAGAAATGACTTGCATAGTCTCTCAATGGGTCATAAGCATTTGTCTGACTCCTGAGAAACTGAAGGTGACATTCTTTTCGCTTCCTGGATCCCTCTCAAAGCGATCGAGCCAGATACCCAGAGGTGGCCATGCATCCCAAGAGACTATCAGAAAGTTTTCTATCAACTGCTTGTCAGGAATGGACCATTCAATCATCATTTCTTCTGACACAGGGCTGAGCCAAGGTCTTTGGTATGGTGCTAACAAATCCTATTTGGGGCGAGGAGATTGGGCTCAAAGGGGTAACTTATATACCCTGCGTCACATCCTCAGCTGCGTCACTGTGGAACAGTAACTGACAACACCAGCTGAAGATCTGGACTATGATGTACTTGCCAGCATATGGGACATAGGCTTTGTTTTCCTGTGTCATTACGAAGCCTTGCAAAATGGGGCATCAGCCTCAACTGGGTGCCATCATCATACAAATAATATCGTCATACATTTAACTTATCAGTCACAAAGCAGTCCTTCAAGTCTGCCCTGAATCTCGTACAGACAGGGCTGCATCTGACTCCTTATACCATCTGTCATATGTGCTGTATAATAAATTTGATAGCGTCTCCTGCAGGGTTTTTAGAAAATTGAGGAATGCTTTTGGTAGGAAGCTCTACATTCTGTTAAAATAATGTACTATTTCTGTTTTGTATAAACTCTTTTCCCATTTGAATCCCTAAAAGGCAGCTCCATTTGGGAGGACAGTTGTACAAGGAACTTGTGTATCTAAGATCAAACTCCTTTGTTTTAAAATTCAAATACAAAAGAGATTCCGATTCTTTAGAGACGAGATAGTGCATGATTCTTCAGCTCCTTGTTGTGCTTTGTTTCCCCCCCCCCCCCCCCCAATTATGGAAACGAGAGCTTCAGGAATCTCCATCCTTGGAAGTTTCTAAGTGCAGGTTAGTTGCACGTTTGTCTGGGATGCTCTGCACATGGATGATCTTGGCTTGTGCAGAGGGTTGGACCAAATGCGACCTCCTCAGGTACCTTCCAGCCTTAGTTTTCTGTGATTCTATGGAGTTTGATTTTTCTCAAATATAGGAGCGTTGGTATAATAATGACTTCTTGCTCTACAGGGAGATATGAACTAGACAGAGCTTGCACATAGCCAGATCTTCAAAATATGTAGGTCTCCAACTCTTGTTTATGTGCCTCAAACCCCATTTATTTCAATAAGAATAAGACAACTGAAAACTTTTATGGGAATGGTATTTAGTCTTTTCACTCAAACTATATTGGCTCATGCTTTAGTTCTTCAAGAGCTGCCACATGATGACCAGGATAACAACTTAATAATGCTAGACTGTGAGCTGTTTACAGAGATCTGATCCTCAGCTGGGGCTACTACCTGAGTACAAGCTATAAGAGGTAGGGCTACTAATCATACCTGTTATAACAAGTAGGGTTTGTTATGTGTGATGAGACCTGCCAGGAGCAGTGGGGTGTCTGAAATGCTCAGGCCAGGTTCCTTTGCCCAAAAATTCGGAGTACAGAAACCATTCCCTGTGCATTATGCATTGCACTCTGTGCCTGCTCAAAAAACATGTCTGTGAAACCTTTCAAATGGGAACAAAGCTTAGGCCAAGATTTTCAGAGGGCTGGAAGGTAGTCAGGCTCCTAGCTCCTACTTGGAGCCCTTAGGACATGTGCTTCCTGACTCTGGTCCTGTAGCTCTTGCTCCATAGGTTCAGGCTTTACTTCTCAGGAGGTCATGGGTTTAAACCTGGTTGACAGCAGCCCTCACCCGAGGTCGTTTCATTGACCTCTCCAGATTTCTCAGGATATTGAGGGGAAAAATACCCCTCGAAAATTGATTGGGATGGAAGCTCTGATTTGCAGGTCAAATATATGCTTTTGTTGCCTTGTTTTGTTCAAATGGAAAATAAATTCTCCCCCTCCAAGTCTCAGATCCTGTTTATCCTAAAATGTTTGACCACAGAGACTGTCTGTCTAAAAGGTCCTACGACTAGACTTGTGCAAATAGGCAGCTATTTGATCCGGTTTCGGATCCGGCCACTTCAGATGCCAGGGATCCGATCCAGAGCTCTGGATTAGTTTCCCGCTTTGATCCGGCTGTAGGGTATAATGGGGAATCAATGAAATACCTATAACTTTGTTGTTTTTTGTCTGTTTTCGATGATACTTGCAGGGGTGGTAGCCTCTGCTGAGAGCATGAAGCCTGACAAGTTTCAAGAAGATAGGTGCAGGGTTTTGGGGGGAACTGAACCCCAAATTCTTGAGAGCAAAACTCATGTCATATGTATGTGTTACACCACGGGGGGG